TTAATCATAAAATAAAAGCTTGACTGACAACCAAACGTCGGCTTCACAATCACAAAAAAAAAAAAAATCACACGCACCTTAAATCCGTGCGCCCACACACTCTCTATCTTAGTCAGCCTTTCACCTGTCATTAACCACCCACATAGCTACGCCTCGCGCGGTATACCTAGATTTTAGAGCAAACTTACCTTCTGTTACTTACAAAAACCAGGGCGGATACCTTTGTAAGGGTATTCACACCGATAACTTACTGGACCATATTAAGTGACGTCCCCGTCGCTTTGAGGAATCGAAAAACTATAAATCCATCCTCAACTCCAAATGCTGACGAGAAAGGAACCAATCCGATTAGCCGACAGACTCCGGTTTGAGACCACCATCAATCCATGCCAAACACTACTATATGCTGCCAGGAATCGAACATAGATCTCCATTGTCCTGATACTAGGACGCCAAGATACTTACCACTATACTACAACATAAGTTTCATCGGCCCTTTCAACCATCCTCTCCCCTTTGTCCTAGACAAATGTTGGCTTCTCGTTAAGTGTCCCAATATCTCCACCCTGCAAGCAGGGCCATAACTAGGGACACGGACCTTAACCGAGACCTTAGAAGACATTTTTGCCTTCCTCCCAATAATTTTCACAATCCAATATATATATATATATATATATATATATACATATATATATACAAAAATATTTTCTTAGACTCTTACTGCAGTCTAGTACAAGAAGGCTAGGTCTCCATCTTGACCCACTATAGTCTGGTTGATCGAGCCAGACCTACGGCCCACGACGTTGTTATTTTTGCAGAAGTGCCGTCGCAGTTTGCGCCACGAAAAAACTTTCTCCTGATAAACATTCAATCAGGACTCCAAAAGACTAAAAAAACTCAACTCTTATCCCTCTATCATCTCGCGGGAAGTAAAACCCTTCTAGGCGGCCACACCCTTTAAGTCTTTACTTCTTTTCTGAGACGTGGACCCGCCGCCAGGTTACACCGGTCAACAACCAATACTAGGGGTTGCGCTCTAGTGATGCTAAACTTTACCGTTAGCTTGGTCTTTCTTGCAAATGCCCTAAGATTAACACAAGTGGTTGGACGGTGTGTCGCAACAATACATGCCTATTGTAGGACTACGCAAAAGTCTGTCACATATAAAAGGCATTTACCATCCCTCTGTGGGACAACACAGAGAGTACAACATCCTCTCCACTTTCACAAAACAGAATCACCGCCAGATTCACAAGATCGCGACCTCCCAACTTGATCAGAGCAAGAAGTCACACATCTCAATGACATCTCTCAAATAAATCACTCTTGCGACCTCAAAAATTTTACCAATGGCCAAACAAAAACTTGGTTCTTCTTGTCAGACTTTATCTTTCAAATCCGCTTCCCATGCCGTTAAATCTTTTAAACGCCTTTTTAATTGAAGGAGGTCTCTCTTATTAGGTCTCTTAGTCATCCCTCTCTTTCTAGGATGAACTTTCAGGCAACCCTTTTAAAACACCTTCTACTGCAGTTGAGTCTCCAAATGAACAAAATAACCACCTTTCGTCTCGAAGATATGTCAACCATAAAACCACTCAAACTGAGAGACCAACTTATGATTCCGCGTCACCACTCAATTATAAACATACGACACGGTAAGCATTCGAGTCTCAATGACTCGTAAATCCCTTATGATTCTTACATTCTTCACAAAATCAGATTGCACTTCCTCCCTTTATACCCGACCCTTATCATCCGCCTGTGGGCAGACCGTACGAGTATACCGAAGAGTGGACAGTTCAGATATAAATACATTTGCAATTTACAAAACACACGAGATGTTTCCTGTACATCTCTCGCACAAAACTTTCATTCATCAGGATAAAACCACACATGTGAGAGTGATTGTGACCGTCATATATAGAAAAAAGTTTTAGATAAACCTCCACTCAATGTACACCCAAAGATGAGATATCTCATCTAAAACACAAGTAGCTGATCCAACTTGTAACTCAATCAAAGAAAAAAACACCCCCAATATGGTACAAGTGTGATCGTCCTGCCCCCCCCCCCCCAAAAAAAAAAATGCACTCAAAATCAGAACTGATCCTGATCCTCAGGAGTTAGAAGAAAAACAACCCTATTATACATATGTCACATCACTGAGCCCCAAACCTCAAATCACCGGCGGAATCCTTAATGGTAATCATATGCTATAAATCTCTATTTGTACATTCGAATAACATAGGCTTAAAAAATATGGAAATAGAAACTAAGCAGAAAGAAAAAACAACAATTTTTTAACTCTAAGAATGTGCACTCTTCCTCAATCCTAGAAACAACAATGGGTAACAACCCATAGGTAGATCAGTCCATACTCACTCATTTCCTCTTGGTTCTGCCTATATAACTAAGCTCTGCCTCCATCTGCAGATCGCTCTACTATGTTACCCTGTTTATCATACACCTTTCTTCCACTCTCAGTGGTTTTCCCCGTTGCCTTGTCCTTCATGAACTTAGGACACTGCAATGCCCTATGTTCCTCATCGTTGTAGAAGAAGCAAGATAAGTCTCCTGATTTTTGGCCCCTCTTCCTTTTCTTCTGAGATCATGGCGATGAAGGTGCCTCACTAGCCTCTCTGCCACCTCATGACATTGGGGCATACCCATAGGCTCCTCAGGTCTAGCCTCCAACTCCTGAGTACTCGGCTCTGCCCCTATCCTAACTCCCTCAGGCATGTACTCATGTGTATCTAACCTTTGTGGCCTGCCCTCGTAGACACCCTCCATCGCAATTGCTATCTCTCCCGCCCGAGACGCCTCCACTCTCTGCTCAGGCGTAAACACACATGCCCCTTCCTGCATGGTGTTGACTGCTTTGAGAAGTACATCCATGGACCCTTCGTCAGACCCAAGCGCAGGCTCATTGACAGTTGTCTGTGGTCTATCCCCTGCTCGTAGTGTCGAGGACTCTGTCGCTGGTTCTGAAGAAGTCGCAGGTTGGGTGGCAAGTTCAGCAGGTGCCCTGAACTCAAAGGCCTCATTTTCTGCCTCCTCTTTGCCTTCGCTTCTTCCGGCTCTAGAATGACCTTCCCCATGGGTGGTTTTTGGGACAGCCCCGCCGTGGACGGTTGTCCAAATAGGCCCTGCACTGACTACCCCTGAATGCGTAGCGACTGCTCTCTGTCCAGTCCACCACTTTGGTGGGTGCCTCTCTGTCCATCCTAGCCGCCGTATCCTGAAGTTGTTGCCTCATATCCTGGATGGTGGCGGCCTGACTAGTTACCAGTGCCATAAGCTCTTGGATCTCTGTCTCTGCAACTTCCAAACGAACTCCTAGATTCCCATCTTTCAGCTTCCTTCCAACTAACCGTCTTCCAACATCAATACCTCTGGAAAGAAGTTTTAGCCAGAAAACAGAGCTTGCGGTCCAAGTACCCATCCATTCATCTCGCCGTCTCGAGTCCAACTCTTTCTGGTGTAGTCAACCCCTCAGCACTCTGACCCCAGAACTCGTCTCACATCTCAGTGACTCCGCGAGCCCTATGTGGCACATCAGGTGGCTGGTCTGGAAGCGCTCCTGCCGCCTCTAATCTATGTCTCTCCTCCCAAATCTCCTTCACTCGTTTGCCAGTCATGGCCTTCTTCTCCTCAGCCGTCTTTCTAGGTAGGGCTCTCCCTCATGTAGGACGAGTGTCCCTTACTCGGACCTCAAGTCGCGCCTCTGGCTCTGGTCGATGAGGTTCCTACAATGGCTCGTCAGGTGGGGGTTCCTCAATGTCAGGGTATTCCTGGGCATGTGCAACCAAATATCTATCGACTGTGGAAAGGGCTTCTCTCCTCCAAGTTGTCTCCTCTCGCTCCATTTCCATTGTGAAAGAGTCATATCTGGAGGAAATGGTGGGATCTTTCCATGCTGAAGCTCCTCCCCTGCCTCCTGCACATCCTCTGGTACTGGCTCATGCCCTGGTACGGGAACCGGTAACTGAGGTGGAGTATCCACTTCCACCTTGATCACCTCCTCTGCTCGCCGCTGTCGCGCGAGGCGGTCCCGCACTCTGTTGGAGAGCGCTGAACCTCACAGCCGTGTCACGCATGATGTTTTTCAGAGTTGTTGAAAAGAACCAGTCACCACTCCAACCGTGCGCGTGTGCTACACCTCTCACGATGCCCCACGACAGGTCGGGACGTCGTGAGGAACACCTTACCTCTACCCAAGGGGTTGTCACCACCCTTAGGTAGGCGTATCTCTACTGAGCTACCGGCCCACATGGGAAGGTTTTTACATGCCTTTGTATTCGTAGGTCAACCGAGGACGTTTTCTCGATCGTCACAGCATAGGAATGGGATACGCGCGGTAAGACGCCCATGACTGACCCGTTAGTCAAGTCAGGTTCAGGATGTGATTTCCCTATCCTGGACTTCTAGATATTCAGGTCGAACTTTTATAAGGCTTTCTATATCCGCTTCTGAATCTAAAATGTGTTACTCTCCTGCCAAAAGAGAGCAAGGTAACAATCAAATCATCTTACCACCTAGGACTTTTTATTCTACTTGACAAGTCATGACGTAACTGAACATAAGATATCACAAACGTTATATAGGACAGATAATGAATATAGAGGTATGACCGTCGATAACCCTTCCCACTTTCACAAGTGTTGTGTGTCCAACACTCTTCACGAGATCAAGCCCAGTTCAATCCAAACCACGCACAAGACAGACCTGCACAGAGTAATGCAAATAACAGTTCACATGCCATGCACTAACGCTGTCAACCTCCACATTATAGACTTGTCCCTTATTTCCCCAAACTGTGTGAGACAACTCTATCATTCCTAAGACTCTTTAAGCCCAATCCCCTCACGTCATTCAAAGGACCCTTGAGAGCGATGAGGACCATTTAGGCACAAACCACAAGTGAAAGTTTTACTGAACATAGAGTTTGTCTTTAGATGCACGTATCAAGCCGAGGGATAAGTTGAATCCTTAAAACCGACCTGTTATCGAATGATAACATAAAGTTTGAATCCTTTTGTAGATCCCTTCCTTCAAATGCAGTAGTAAAATGAGCCCAGACCTGCACACACACATGTCAACAACAAGTCAACAACCCCTCCTAGTTTTTCTCTCATTGTTTTCGAGGGTCGGACCCTCAAATGAAAATTACGAACCCTGGGAATAATATCCCGAAGTACGACTCCTATTCTTACTACTTCATTCTGTCCCTTTCTCCTTTACAAGGAGATTCATGTCCACATCCTTGATTGTTCAAAAGGAAACCGCTTTTTCATTATTTGCAATCCTCTCATTTTCTCTCATCCGGATAAGCACATTCTTTCTGACGTTTATGTGGTAGTCTGACTGAGATCAACTCATGCCAGTAGTGGTTTCTCCCTCAGGAGTTTATCACTAAGCTGAGGTTACACGGAGCTTCTTCTTTTGTAATTCCTTTTCCCTACGATATTTACCCTTTATTCTGTTTCTTTCAAGACATTTGGAGTCACCCCCGCCGGAACACTCACTTTTTCCTGTTTCTTCTTCTTGTCCCGACATACGCAAGTAGTGGATGATTTACACGGAAATCTTTCACTACTTGATCAATTCCAGACAAAATGATTAGTCAAACGAGTAATTGAGTAGCTCCACGAGAGCACTCAATCATCCTTCAAAATCCAAGCAGTCCTTATGCAATCAAGTATTTCAAACACTGTTACGCAAGCGACTGGATAACTCTCATAGGAGTATCCCTTTATTAGTTACTACATGTAGTTGAGAAGGCCTTGTTGAGGCACTTCCAACACTTGCTCCAACATTCACCAACAATTCAGACCACATCTTTATCAAAGATCAATGCAGAATTCAAATTTGCAATAGGTGACCTTCACGGAAGTCCACTATTACTCCTTGATCAGAGTTAAGTTTATTCTTAAGAGCGTAATAGGATGGCCCCACGGGAGCTACCCTACTACTCTCTCAAAGATAGACAACCTAGGATTATGTTGGTAGACTCAGACAAACACCAGATCCTCCTTTTGCTGGAGTATCCTACTTGGTTTGTTAAGGTAGAGTCAAGCAAGGAATAGGATGACCCCACGAAAGTCTCCCTATTCCTTCCTTGGGTAGTAAGTAGTTTACCCTCTCGATTATGGCCCTAGGGCAAACCATACGGAAACTTAACCATTACCCATTTGATAATTTGATAAACCAGGTGTATGTAGGGTATCAGAGAATGAATAGTAAGATGATCTCTTCCTTTTTCTCGTGTTAATAACCAGCTAAGGTCCGAGTTTGTAATAAGACGGCCCCACGGGAGTTATCCTACTGCTGCCCGACTGACTGCGAATATCATTCCTTTGATCAAGTGATAGGATGACCCCACGAGAGCCTCCCATAACCTCATTCAATGTTAAACAGACTGATCGTTAGTAACTACCCATGCCATCCATCAGTCATACCCAAACAAGTAGTAGGGTTACTCACTCGGGAGTATCCCTTTATTGTCCAAACACAATCACCTCATTTCTTCTTTTTGTTAGATGATCTTCAGATCAAACAAGTATTTAGGACGACCGCATGGGAGTTATCCTACTACCAGTTTGATGGGTAGGAGATCAGTCAAAGCACCTCTTAATTAAGTTGTTCCGACCGTTCACCTACCTTGCTTAGGCATCATGAATAAGCAAGAGGTATGATACCCCATGGGAAGCCGGACGGATCGTCGTAGACTTAGGAGTTCGTGTACTCACACGGTAAGTACTTAATTCCCTTCTAAGTCTGGTCCGATAGGTGACGGGAAAGCCCCACGGGAGCGTCCTACTACCTTTGCCTATGTTAGTTGTCGAAGCCATTTACCTCACGGGAGTACAGAATCACTTCTTAGATCTAGCCTGTAAGGTAAAAAAGAAATCGCACGACAGTTTCCCGTCACCAATGTTGGAGTCAAGCAGACATTTGATCGTTTCGTTACTTAGTCGGGTGAATGACAGGGTACTTCTCATGGGAGTATCCCATCATTCACCTCAGTCAGTTCATGCAAGCAGTGTGACGACTCCACGGGAGCCTCCATCACACGACTCTTGTCTTCCAAACCCAAGCAGACTAGGTTCGTTCCCGGGATTCCTAGGTTCCTTCCTGAGTTCAAGCATAGTTCTTACTTCAAGCATATATCATTTTTGTTTTTGATAAATTTAGTCCTGAAGAATATATGAGTAGTACATCATACAACCATGCATGCTATCAGGTAGAAGGTCATACTATATAAGGGTATATGAGAAAGGATACCTCATGGTTCCCTGCTTCCAGAGTTCCTCCTGAACTCCGGCAGAGCTCCTGCAATCACCCTGTTTTCTTGGCCATATCTAGTCAATGCTATCACTTGTCCGGACCTTAAGGTTAGCAAAAGCCAGAGTCTTCTAAATAGGAATACATCAATCATAGTTGAAGAGACAGGTGTTTTGAGAGAATCAAAGAATGATGAAAATGGAGGAGGATGGAGGAGGCAGGCACCATCACATAGTGACAATACGTCTCTCCTCTCAATGGTCTGCATTTTCTTCATCTCTGGTATGTGATGTTCGATAATAACAATGACAAACATGAATAACAATAATAATAATAATAATAATAATAATAATAATAATAATAATAAAAAATAACAATGATAACAACAATAATAATAATAGTAACAGCAAAAGAGGTAATATCTTGTCACTTTCTTTTTTTTTCCTTCTCCTTCTCTTCCCTTCTTTCCTCCTTTCTTCCTATCTTCGCTTCGCCACACAGCCCTGGTCGCAACAACCCACTCGCTGTCCCCTATGCGTGTCTCAAGGACCATGTGTGTGATTGCTCCCCTGCCTGCCTGCAAGACTGCGCGGACGCATGCTTGTTGCTCTGCATGCCTAACCATAGCCCGTTAGCGTCCCGCTGTTTGGCTGTGATGCACGCCACTTAGTGCCCGTGCGTGGAGGTGGTGGCAATGTTGCATCTCTAGTGGCCTGCGACCCCTCCTTACTATGCGGACCTCATGCTGTGTGTGTCCAGGGCGCAACAACCCGCGTCCCGGGCTCAATTGTCCGGCTCAACTGTTGTTGCTGGAAGGACCCAGGGTGAAATCCAGGTCGCTTTTCAGGCAATCTAACATGTCGTATTTTGCTTGAGACCCACATTGGAAAGTGCTGAGATAAGGGTCTCTCTTGGACATTCGGACCTGCCTTCACTGAGGGCAGACACTAGGCTTGTTGGGACCACCAGGTACTGCAATAATGATAATAATGATAATAATAATAAAAAAAATATATATATAAAAAAAACTTATTTTAACTTTATCGAATACACGTATTATTCAATCAATAAATAATAAATAACCTAGGTTACCAGCCGGGCCACCCGGGTCCCGGGTGGCCAGCCCGCGCAAGGTCCCAGCAAAAAAAAAAAAAACAAAAAAAATCCATAAATTCTGAAAAAACACTATGTTATGCAGAAAAATAAACTGAACAACTTTTGCCTCAGGGTTACATCGAAATTCTTCACCAAATTTAAAATAAAAAACAAAATTCAAAAATATTTTACTTATTTTTATTTTTTTTAATTATTTTGGCCCGGCCGGGCAAGTGACCCCGGACGACTATGGTAGCCTAGTAAATAACATTTATTTTTTGTTCATATTTCTTGTACGTTAAAGATTTTATAGAACAAAAAACACATAATACATAATAGAAATATATTCATAGACAGGGTTACCAGCCCGTACGTACGGAGGCCCCCGGGCTAACCTCCGTACATTCGGGCGTTCGGGGTCACGTTCGGGGACCGAACCCCTCCGAACCTGAAAAGGTTCGGCCCCCGCCAAAAAATATTTCGGGGCCTAAACATTATTATTTTTTTTTGAATTGTTTTTTGGGAGTTCTCTATTATGTGAGGTATATGCCTCTACATTTTGAGATAATTTTGCTTAGCCAAAAAAAAATGAAAAATCGCTAAAGATAGCGGTGTCAAAACGTGCTCACCCACTGACTATTTTGTTTTTTTTCTCTTTTCTCTTTTTGTTTTCACTTTGTTTCGGGGCCTACATAATTTTTTTATTTTTTTATGTTCTTTAAATGAGTTTTGTATCATGTAAGATACACACCTATGAATTTTCAGGGAATTTCACCGATCCAAAAAAAAAAAAAAAATCTTCAAAGATGGAGGTGTTTAAAACGTGCCCGCCCGCACACTGATTATAATTCTCTCTTGAAATTTTTTGTTTCTATTATTATTTTTTGTTTTCCATTATTTACTTTTAATTCGCATTTGGTATCGAATTTGGAGGTAACTCTGAGGCAAATGTTGTTCAGTTTGTCTGTCTGCATAACATATAGTTTTCTCAGATTTTTTGGACAACTTTTTTTTTTTTTTTTTTTTTTTGGTCCGTGTTCGGTCCGAACGGCCGAACGTGTCTATATGGGAGCCCGGACGTTCGGGCGTTCGGCCCGTCCTGAACGCCGGTTACCCTGTTCATATAAATATATACAAACACATAATAAATAATATACATATGTATATTCTATTATTGTGAATTATCACTGAATTCTATTTTATTTGAATGAATTAATTACAATCACGGTAACCGGCGTTGGGGACGGGCCGAACGCCCGAACCCGAACGCCCGAACCAACGCCCGAACGTATGGGACCCTTTGGGGATGCGTTCGGCCGTTCGGGCCGAACGAGGACCCAACAAAAAAAAAAAAAAAAAAAAAAAAGGTCATCAAAAAAATCTGAAACAAAGATATGTCATGGAAAAAAATAAATTAAACAAGATTTGCCTGAGCATTATATCCGAATTCCTTACCAAATTTAAAATAAAAATAAAATACGGAAAATAAATACTAAGAATAAAAATAAATAAAAATAAAAGAGAATTAAATTTAGTGAGTGCGTGAGCATGTTTTTGACACCGCCATCTTTGGCGATTTTTCATTTTTTTTGGCATAGCTAAATGCCCTGGAAATTTACAGATGTGTACTTCACATAGTACAAAACCCACTAAAAAAGTTTCAAAAAATATTAAAATTGTTTAGACCCTGAACTAAAGTGA